TAAAACCTACCAACTTTGTAAGGTGAAGGGTTAAAACTTATCAATTTTGTAAGGTAAATGGTTAAAAGTATTATATTATAAGATTAGGGACTAAAATCTATTAATTTTGTAAGGTGAGGGAGTAAAAATTGGTTTTAGCCCCTGTCTAAGACCATTTGCATTTTTTTTACGTGACGTCTTTACTTTTGTAGGGCCCACAGAGAGAGATTTTGACCCTGTTTTAATAATAAATAAAAAAAACTAGGTTTTTATTCAATAAAAAAACAGTAATGATTTTTTTGACAAGCATTTTTACAACCATTATTTATAATTTGATGTGACTTGCATCATGTCTATGATCTCATATTATTATAATTTAATTTTGATTATTTAATAATAAAATTTATTACTAATTTTATAATATTTTAAATAATCTTAAACAAAAAAAAAATAATATTATGTCTCTTACTTAAATTAAAAACTAAATTAAAATCAAATAATATGACAGATATGTAAACATACCATGTTAACTTGTAAGTAATAATTGCAGGAAATAATGTTCTTAAAAGATCATTTGTCAATGATAATAATAATAAACTGAATTAAAGTTTTGAAACTAAAATTTAATACAAATAACATGTAATAAATTACATTATTTAAAATATTAAATAATTAAATAATTTTTTTATTTTATTAAGATCATAAAATTATATATATTAATTTATTTAATGTATAATTTATATCGTATTATTAATTTAAAATATTTATCTCAAAATTTCATCCCCTCTGTTCCTACTTTTTCTTAATAAAAAAAATTGGTTTAGTTATTTCTCTTACACGGACTAATAAATTTTTTGCACAATGTGAGTTGAATATTCCCGTTGCTTAATTTAATTGTCTCACCTCACACGCCTAGGTAATATTTTTAAAAAAGTCAAGTAAAAATTATTTTGCAAATACTTCTTATTTGATGGATACATGAATTAACAAACCTAATATATAATTTAAAATATCTTAAAAATTAATTGTTAAGTGAAGTGAAAGTGACATGAACTTGCAAATTATATAAATGTAAATATTGTTGAATAATAAAAATATTATAATTATAATGTTGTGTGATAGTATAAATATATAATATAATATTTTATTATATAATTAATTTTTTTATTTATAGATCCATCTATTATATTATATAGATTTATTTATTTAATATTAACTCATACTTAATTATTCAATTTAAATTCATAAATTTTAAATAATATTATAACTATAACATTAAAATTTAATAATAATTTAGAAAACAAATAATTATTTTTTTAATCAATAGAAAACCAACAATCTTAGATACCTTTGTTCTTTGGTATGGTGTACATTCAAACTTCAAACACCTCACGAAATCCCCTTTCTAATACATTAAAGAAAAGAAAGCTTGGAAGCTGTCATTGTTTATGCATGACTAATAATCGTTAAGTATTTCATCTTAAAACGGAAGCCAATTATTTTCTACATAGCTTTGTTTCCTGGGTTAGTCTAGCTAGTATATGTAGCACTAAAATGTATTAAATTGCAAATTTTTATTAATTATTATAAAAAAAATAAAAATTAATTTTAATGTTATTAATTATCCAATTAAAATCATACACATGTTATTAATATTAAAAATAAATTAGGTTCACGTTTTCCTATATAAATTATTGAAAAAAATGTAACTTATAATGAATTAATATATAGATAGACAAATTGTTGTTTGTTTATCAAATATTATTCCCTTCATTTTAAAATAATTATTATTTTTTAATTTTGAAGTTTTCTCAAATTAATTATTTTTTTATTTTTTAAAGTAGATAAATATTTTTTTCTTATTTTAACTCTATTATTATTCATTTACTTTAATTAATTATCCAACTACAAAAAAATCTCTTTCTATCTTTTTTTTTTTAAGAATATTATAGATAAATACAATTATTATTCTAAAATTTTTAATTTAAAAAAAATCAGAAAACATTATTTTGAGGTAGAATAAAATGCAAAATATCAAGGAAAAATATATTGGAGCACTTTGAGATAATAAAAATGAATTTGTCAACAAAGAAGGATCTACCAAGTATATAAGTGAGTATATGTATGCAATTCAAACACATTATTAGTAAAAAAAAGATTAATATATATTTATTATAAATATATACACACTACATTATTATTAATAAGTATGTTTACATAAGAATCTATTTTGAGATAAAATTAGTAAGTGTAAATGTAT